CCGAAATCAACATCGGTCGACCGATATCAGAAAATCCTGCAGGGTTAAAAACCCTCGCTCTGTCCGGTCAACCGGACTAAGCAAGTCGATCGACCGGATCGCGTTTCTTGGGTTGACCTGGATTCTGTTTGACGTAGATTCCAAGTTCTATTGGGCTTGGTTATTTACGATTTTTCCATCCACGTTGTTTAACCTATAAATAGGGATTGTTTAGGGTTTTTAAACATGAGATTAACAGAAGAGAGATTCTAATCAAGAGATTAGAGTTTAGAGAGAATAGAGAGATTGTTTTTTATTTTAAAGAGATTGTGTGAGAGAGATTTTGTAATCTTTTATTTTTCATAATCTAGAGAATGTATTTTCCTTCGCCAATTTAATTGTCTTGTGTGTTTTGTTGTTTTCTTCTCAAACTCATCTTTGATAATTCCGCGATCAAAGGTGCTCGCACGATGACTCGTATCATTATGTATGCCTATATATGTGGCCCCATAGAAAAAAAATTTGGATCCGTCCTTGACCACATGGGCACACAAGTAGTGGCGCATGCAACCAGAACTCGACACCAATCGCTATGCACTAACCGACGATCTATGCATAAGCATAGCCTGCAGAAGAGTCACCAAAACATCTGATTAGATCTCCTCATTCTTTGTAGACTAATCGATCGTCGGGTAGTAGGGAAGCTCCGAGAAATGTCTAATTTGAACAAAAGATAATAGCAATATACGGCAGAAAAATAGATCAAGAGACAAAGACACATGATTTCTCTCGTTAGTTCTCTCTAGCTCTCTTTTACAATATGCAACTCTCCTTACTCCTTAGCTTCTCCCCCATGACTTGATTTACAATGAACTCTCAAGGGATATTTAAAGAGCTTTCCTCTCTCTCGAATTCATGTAGACTCCTAATTTCACTTGGATTATCAATTCGAATTCTCTTACAACTAGAATTTAATTTCAATTATAATTGATCTTTCTTATCAAATTCAATACCCAATCCAAGTCCAACTAGGATTTCCTGAAATACAAGACTATTTCCCAACAACATGCACATAGAAGAAAGCTTGATGAACAGTAGTATAATTTCTTGTCTTTTTATTATCTTTAATGGGAAGGTTGACCAAATCCTTGATCGATTGGTTTTGCTCCCCATCCAAGTCCCCACATAGCTGAGGATAAAGTTACTTTCTAATTGTTAATGTTGAGAATTGATATTTCGGAACGTAGATGAGTGAGCAGAACCGAAGAAATGAGATAAAAACATCATAGAACAGCCAACTAGAAGTAGAAAACTGCTGGAGCAAGAGAAGGCCGTCTTTCTCATGAAAGATGATCAGATTCTTGTCATTCTTTTCAAATGGGAAATATAGGAGCTTGTTTATGTATAAGAGAGAACCTATTCAGTTTCTTAGACTCATTATGAATCCTTATTTTTTTAGGCAAGTTAGCTATCTTTATTGTCGTAGTTTTGTTTTATGGAGTGTCCGCTATATCTTGTTGGTGAATGGTACCTTGTTTTGATTTTTGTTGTAGTGGGTGTTTTGCGCACCCTCATGATTAAACATCTGCATTCATGTTAATGCACAAGGACATCGATGAGCTTCTATAGCCTCATGAACTTTTTCCCTCTCCACCCCCTGCATGTTCACACAAACACATAGGGAAGCTTTGTGAACAGTAGTATAAATGGACAAATTTTCAAAAGAGACCTATTTGAACTTTTATTTGCAAAAAACAACCCGTTTTGAACTTATTTTTAAAAACAGACCTGGTTTCAGCCCTGTCGCTGAAACCAGGTCGGTTTCTGAAATTTTTTTTACGAAACTTCACGGGAGTTGAACTCCCGTGAAGTTTAGCAGATTTTAAAATTTTTAAAAAAACTTCACAGAAATTCAACTCCCGTGAAGTTTTATTTCCCCAATTCTTGCTCCTCTTAATAAGCCACTCTCCGTTTCGTCCATTTCAATAACCTCCCCACGCCCGCGGACCTCCTCTAAAGATCGATCTAAGCTCTCACCGCTTTGTCTCGCTCCTCGCTCCTCTCACGAGGCAGAACAGCTCTCTCCCTCGCTCGATCCCAAATCCGATGAAGAAACCCCGCGGGGATGTTGCCAGCGTTCCGCTCTCGAGATTCGGCGTCTTGGTCGCGCAACTCGAGTCCATCGCCGCCTCCGCTCGTCAGCAGCCTCCCGATCCCCTCCTCTGCTATGATCTCCTCTCCGAACTTGTCGTCACCATCGAAGACGAGCCCAAGGCATCCTCTGCTATGAGTTGTTCTTCTTTCTTTTCTAAGAAGCTAGGTAAGTTAATATGGGACTATCCAAAAGGCATGAGACTAAAGAATTTCAAACAGGCAAAGTGATGAGCTTATGTTTTCTTGAATTTGAGGTGATAACAGAGGACAGGGAAGAAGAAGGTGATGAAGGAACAGGGAGAAGATCCATGGCCAAATTTTGGGAAAATAGCAACGGAGAGTTGAACTCCCGTGAGTAATAAAACTTCACGGGAGTTGAACTCTCGTGAAGTTTTTAAGGAATTATACTTCACGGGAGTTCAACTCCCGTGAAGTTTAAAAATCTGTTAAACTTCACGGGAGTTCAACTCCCGTGAAGTTTCGTAAAAAAACTTTCAGAAACCGACCTGGTTTCAACGAACCAGGTCGGTTTTTAAAAATAAGTTCAAAACGGGTCGTTTTTTGCAAATAAAAGTCCAAATAGGTCTCTTTTGAAAATTTGTCCTAGTATAAATACTTGTCTTTTTATTTATCTTTCATGCAAAACTTGCCCAGCTCCTTGATCGATTGGTTCTGCTCACCGTCCTAGTCCCATATAGCTGCGAATTTAAGGTACTTTGTAATTGTGAATTTCGAGAAATTGGTACTTTGGAGCGTAGATGAATGAGCATAGCCAAAGAAAAAGAGGTAGGATCGCCATAGAACAGCCTTCTAGAAGTAGAAGAATGACCTAATTCATGTGAGTTGTGACTTGTCTTTCTTTTCAAATGGGTAATATAGGACCTTGTTTATGTATAAGTCTGAATCTATTCAGTTTCTACTTTCCAAGTCACATTATGAATCCTTAAATTTTAAGAACTCTTTGTCAGCGATTTTGAAGTTATCAACCTTTTTAATCATTCTAACTTGCTCCAGAAATACAAGAAAGGAGGGAAGAACGGGGAAACTGCCTTATTCCCACCCTTTTTATTCTTCTCTCTCATTTTTTTCAAAGTTGTAAGAGAACATTTTTTAGGTTGGGCTGAATTTTGAAATGCCTGCAAGGCTTTCATCTCAGGGTTGTGTCTCTTTTAACTGTGTTGGCAGGCTAGATATAATCAAGAAACCAGAAACCATGTTACTAAATCGTCAATTTGAGTTGTTTAAGGTAGATACATCATATGCAAATTATTAAAGGAGAGAGGTTGAGAGAGACTCGAGTGGTTGTGTGTCAGGCACTTTTGTCTGTTGGGGCATATTCATGGGTTTCTGATTCACAGGACCATCATTAGTAATTACTAATTCAAACCGATTTTCGTGCATAAGGTCAATTGTACTCTTTATCTGGTGTCCCTAAGACATGTGATGCTCTAAATTCTGACATATTCTTTTTTCGTTTCAGCTTACTGTTGCGTGCATAAAAATGGATCGACCGGAGATTGCTGCAAAAGCAGTGGAGGTTGCAGAGAAGCGGTTGTCAGTAGAAAAATGGCCAGAATATTATGACACCAAACGTGGACGTTTCATTGGGAAGCAAGCTCGTTTATACCAAACATGGTCTATTGCAGGGTTTCTAGTGGCAAAACTACTGCTTGCCAAACCGGAGGCTGCTAGAATTTTGTGGAACGAGGAAGATGCTGAGATCATCCACGCCTTCAGTATCATGTTCGATTCAAACCCACGGAAGAAAAGAGGTAGGAAACCCAAGAAGACTTACATAGTATAAGGATGTGCGATGAAGACTTTTGGTGATGCAAATTCATTATTGTAAATATTTGTTGCTTATATTCTTTTTAAATACAGTGGGTGAGAGGAAGTTGCTTGTCGTGTTATGTAATTTGATAGTTTGATGCTACTGCAATATATATTTTATCAGCAGTTCATCATCAATTTTCACGTGATTGTTCAAGGGATATATATGTTTGAAATTTCTACAGTTACATTAAAGCAGAACCGAGTCGAAATGTACATCAGGTCGACAGTTGATTTTCAGCAGCCATGATATAATATGGCCAACGCTGTAGCATCCTGCAAGCCGTTTTAAATTCTGAGAAAACATTGTCGCTGTATGCCGTTGACAATGTTATTGTGCTTTGACTAGTGTTGTTGACAACGCCGAGAAACTAGGGAATTTACAGTAAACATAGAGTTGAGAACTAATATAAATGGAAAGAAATTTCATCTGAAGGAGCAATACGTGAGATTTTCTCAGTGATCCACCAAAAAAAGAGCAAGAACTGAACCCTTTTGTCTAGTTTTAATCCAGAACCATGAACCAAGGACATCTTTGGCATCTACAAGTGACGCAGCAAGGCAAATTCTTAAAAGAAAAGACAACGGTAATGATGTAGAAAATTAAGCCTCGTTCTCCTGTAATCTAGCAACCATTAGCTTTCAGCGCGCAAGCCTCTCCTACACTGAAGTCCAGATGCCTCCCAGAACAAAGACATGTAAATAATCCTCTAGGGAGCAATCACCATGTTACACCTTTACAAATTGGAAGATTTTGCAAAATCTTCATCACATGATACGGGAGTTGCACCATCATATTTCACCATGATACGTGGTAATGGACGGAACAACAAACAACAGAGCTACAGAAGCACAATCTCATACAGAGCAAGTAGGTGATCGACTGGCATTCCTCCAAGAAAATCATGTCCATGTTATTGACAAGGAATTGAGCTTCACTGCCGCATTTGTGGATCTACATTTACATGACACCAGTATCTGGATACATAGGGCGCTAGGGGCGGCGGACGGGGGGGGATTCGCCAGCAATTCCACGGAACCAGTCTTCACGTCTTCATACCAACGACTTCCACTAGAAAAGTTCAAACTCGACATCATCTCCATTGCTCCTGAAATCTAAACACTTACCTTCCTTTTTCTTTCGCACTCCGAGAGGGGTTCCAACATCATAACTCGCTGGAATCTCTGGAGGTGCAGCACACCGTATCAAAGCCCAATTCATCCCATCAAAGAACGGATGCTGCTTGATTTCTGCTGCACCTCTGCTTGATCCCAATCTGTTCTCTGGCTCCTTTGCTAGCAATGCCCTGATTAAATCCCTAGCATGAAAGCTAACAGCTGGACTCTCGGGGAATCTCAAACTCTGTGAGATGATGTTGGCTAGGGTTTCGTCATTCCCGGGTCCCTTGAAGGGTGTTCTACCATACAGTAACTCGTAAAGGAAAATTCCAAAGGTCCACCAATCTACTGCGCTCCCATGCCCATCTCCTCTGATGATCTCAGGTGCCAGATACTCGTGGGTCCCAACAAAAGAGTTGGAGCGGGCATCTGTAGGCTCCACCACAAGCTGTGGAAGTGGGCTCACTTGACCACTTTGGTCAGATTTAAGCTTGCGGACTTTTTGTGTTGTTGAAGATACAAGACGGGGTGTGAAGCAAGAAACTTGAACCCAAGATGGCTGGAGGCAAAGAGGCTCGATGCAGCTGTTTTCAGCACAAGGTCCTGATAGCTTCTTCACGGGCACTTGTGAGCCCAATGATGAGGATCTGAGAAGAGTTGGGTTCACTTCGCATCTCAGTGAGAGATCAAAATCAGAGAGCATGATGTGACCATCTTCTCGAACTAGGATATTTTCCGGTTTGAGATCTCGATATACCACCCCAAGCATGTGTAGGTACTCCAAAGCAAGGAGGACTTCTGCTACATAAAACCTGGAGAATAGTAGTGTGTAATTAATACTAAAAATGTTGACATGTGGATTATTCAACATTGGATTATTCAGCATTAATATAAGCTAATAGACTAGTTGCTGACATGTAAATCAATGTCTTGTGTTTAAATTGTGGACACACTTTTAAAATGCTCCTGATCAATGTTCCATGGACGCAGCCAACTATTCAAGGTACCTATTAAATATAATTTTCCCTCTAAAAGAAATGCTTAATTTAGTTAGGCTTCAAAGAAATCTAAAATATTAGCAATTCTTTACATTTACTAGTTTTCATTTTGGGTAAATTGCACATAACCCCCCTCATCTATACCTAGAGTTGCACAACATCCCCCTCAACTCATTATTAGCACATAATCCCCCACACTGCATGAGAAAAAGGGTGTTACTTGCAATTTATCTTCCCTGAAAGTTTCATTTCAGGGGTGCTTAGTGCTAGTAAATGAGATTAGGTGGGCTTAGTGCAGCTCATGGTATAGATAGGGTGTGTTATGTGCAATTTATCCTTCCATCTATGCAAAATCAAACGTACAGGATGAAAGCTTCGCAGAAAAAAGTTTTCACAACAAATACAAGACAAATAATCAACGTATCAGGATGCAAAATAAAACCAGCCATATCACAGAAATTGAGAGCATAAAAAGCATACTTCAAGAGTTTCTACAGAACTTGTTTATCTAAAAGGGAACATACCTAGCAGCAGGTTCAGAAAAACTCCTGCCAAGTTGCCTCTGTCGAAGTACATGGAGATCACCACCAGGACAATACTCCATAACCAAACAAGCAAGGTTATCGGTTGTGAAATTAGCATAAAGAGTCGGTAGAAATGGATGATCAAGCATCTGAAGGATGTCTCTTTCAGTTTGTGCTCTCAACATCTTCTTTCTGCTCAATAAGAACTCAACGTCCATCACTTTCAAGGCAAACAAGCAATCTGTACCAGTCAACTCAGCAAGATAAACAGTACCAATATCTCCACAACCAAGCCTCTTGAGAAGCCTAAAGTTTTTCAACCCTAGGATCCCATATTGAGTCACAACATAATGGATAGCTTCCCACCTAACATCTTTTGACATATGAGGTCTACTCCCATTACCGCTAGAACTCTGATGGCTCTCATCACTCATGCTAGTGCTGCTGCTGTAATCCGCAATGCTGCTTTTCGAGCTTTGAGAAGATTCCCCCTTCTCCCTTGTTCTTGAGTTTCCGGTCACCTTAACACCATCATCTATACCAACCTTGCAGCTATTTGGAGTAACATCAGGTTTGCTTGCTGCCCCATCATTAACCTTGCTTTCAGGAGTATGCGTATTGCTGGCCGCTGGAAAAACAGGTTCTTTTCGAGAACCTGATTTACTTTCAGTTAGGGAACCACCACCTTTATTCACTTGGGTACAGTTATTAGAATTGCCAAGTGCTGAAACTAATCCCTGTTTTCCTTTCCTTTTGGTGTTCGTTTTTATAGGCTTAATCTGGCGAGAACCCATGGTAAGCTTGCTTGAATCAACAGCTTTCTTGGAGCTATGTACATAATTCTTAAAAAATGGTTTTCCTTTTACCCTAGTTGTTTTAGGAGTGGACGAATAGTCTGCATTTTCTGTGGATGCTATCACATCTTGGATTCTGGTTTTCTGTTCCTTGGCAGTGGGTGAAGCGGCATGATGCGGAGAAGGGACAGAGGATCCATTGGTTGATTCTGAATCCTTCATAGCCTTCTCATGGACAAGGGATATTTCTACCAATTTTCCATTTTCTCCGGACTCACTCATTGGAACCACTACAGATGCCAAAAGCCTTTTAATTGTCCCAGCTTCAGAGACATCAGATACGGCAGATGGTTTTGATACCCTCTTCATAGCAGCCATCTCTGAAGCATGCGAAATACAATACTTTCTGAGTGCGTGCTTCAAAGTTACAGATTCAGAGATCCCTATCCCTGATGCTTGGGATACCCCAGCTTTCATAGGCTTCTTTTGAGCATTATTCCGCAGCATTTTTGTAGCAATCTCGTGAGAAGATCCTAAATCAATTGACTTTATTAGTCTATTAAGGCTATCTTCTGTAGGGTGACCTTGTGATTTGGAACCTTCTCCTTTCACCTTAATAGTTAATGTATTAGATCCTTTAAAATGATCAATTATGCCATCCTCGTTTGACTCAACAATCTCAGAGACTCCACCAGATGAACCCATTTATTAAAGCACTTGGCTATCTGTTTAATCTAACAAGATGAACGCAGGAAGCCTCTCATTTGCAATGGATGGATATTAGACAAGGCAGAAAGATATCTTGAATTGATTTTCTCCAAGTATATTGGCAGTGGAACCAGAAAGGCCCACGTTGCTGTTATTTAGGGCTATGAGCATTACCAAAATCCTGTGGAATAACAAAATATTTTTAGAAGTTCAAAGAAAAAGTGAGTATGGTAAATAACTAAAATATTGCACTAGATAATAATAGAATATTCTATTACTTTAAGAAAATCTCATGAAAATTTCAAGGTTTGAAGCACAGAAGAGTTTTCCTTTAAGCTCATCACAAGCCTGCTTATGAAGTCCAAGTTCTTGTTTCTTATAACCAGTGTACTGCTTCAGCACTAACATCATTCTAGAATATCACTCGAGCAAAGTTCAGTGATAAAGAAGTACAAGTTATTAGCTTAAATGGCCACATAATGACAGCTAAAACTATAACATGAAACCAAAAAAAGATGGACACTAAGACTAACTTGAAGATGATATTCACTACTTGGCTTGTGTACTATTTCTCTATTTAAGCCTCAAATAAAAATCTTAGAAGGATCTTTCAAAGTCTATAAACTTGCTAATGGAAGTGAATTCCTAGAGAAAGTGAAACAAGTATGACACAAGCCAAATGATATTCTTTTATGTGAAAATTCAGCTTTATATCAAAGGAAAGGTCTTCAAGCTGTCAAGTGCTTCGAGATTTAAGCCCATTATTGAGCTTAAACTTCTGAAACAATGACTCGAAAGTTTAAATGACTATTTAAACATGCATATATCGACAGAAATTATCACCTTCATGAAATTTCCTTTGAATACTGTAATCGGTAACATTTATTCTAAATTGATAAATAATGAAACAACAGAGGCCAGCCAAGGTATCCCATTAGTTTCTTCATCAAATAACCCAATTTCAAACACGAAAATTTCTTCAAAAGTTATAATTGCAATTTAGAAACTACGAAGTCTACTCTACAACAGTCAACCGAGTCAAAATCCCCAACCGATCAACTACAACATAATCATATTATACTAATCTAACTTGAATGACCCAAGAAAAGTGACTGATAGCTACATATATAATCTAAAATAATCAAACTCCACAACAAACAACCGATCAAATCAAGTCAAAAAAAAAGCGACATACTTTACTTTCACTAGTAACAAACCAAACTAAAATCAATCAATAAACCAAATGAAAACAAGAAATCAATGGCGGAACCCTAAAATCTACAGACTAACCGAGAAAAGGGGAGGATCGAAGGCATACCGGAGCCGCTTCAGCTGAGATCTCGAGCTTAGGGTTTCAGATGGGCTCGAGATCGAAAATGGCGAAATTTGGGAGATTTATTGGTTAGGGTTAGGGTTTGGAGAGAGAGAGAGAGGAAACGAGAGAAAGCTGAAAGCGGAAAGAGTAAAATGCAAATCACGAGAAGGAGCAGAGAAACAAAAAGACGAGTGGAAATAAAGACGATAAATAGGAAGAAAAAAAAATAAAAAAAATAAAAGAAATTTAGAGGAAGAAACAAACATAAAGAGATCGATCGAACATCTCAGCAAAAATACCACGATCTCACATTATCCGGGACCCAGATATGTGGGTCCCTTTTGTTTTAGTGAAGAAATGTGCTTGTTATTGGACTAATTTACAGTTCTGCCACTCTTAGTATAAGAAGGGATAAATTTTAGAACAAATTTTCACTGTAGACCCAAACCAATTTTAAATTATCAAAATCCACCTATTTTTTTAATTACCAAAATCGACCCATTTTATGTCACGTAAGCTTAATCTCATTTTCTAATTAGTCGGGATTGCCAACCCCGACTGTTTAGAAGTTGTTAAACCCAAATTAGAAGCCTTAAACTCGATTTTTAATGCCCTAAACAGTCGGGGTTGGCAACCCCGATTAATTAGGAAATGTGATTAAGCTTACGTGGCATAAAATGGATCGATTTTGGTAATTAAAAAAATGGGTTGATTTTGGTAATTAAAAGTTGGTTTGGATCTACAGTGAAAATTTGTTCATAAATTTTACCACCCCAACCCTCCCGACCCAAAGAAAAAAGCGCAGGGTAGTGTCTCAAAAAATCCGCCATCAATTATTTTAAAAGCCCCTCAACTTTGAGCATATAGTAGATAACCCCTTCAATTTCGAAAATTCCAGAAACCCCTTGAGAACTTTTCTCGCTTAACCTCTATCGACTAATTTGAGAAAACTTGCATCAAGTTTGAAAATGCGAGAAAATCTCCTGAAATTTTTACACTTAATCCCCGAAAATTAACATTGTTAGGTAGAACATGTCACATGACAAGTAGATGATAGAGAAAATACTATTCTAGTTGGGGGCAAGAGTAAAGTGAGGGAAAAAGTGTTGTAAATTGGTCATGATCCTTTTTTACATGTTTGGAGTTTCCTTGTAACTGAAATGAGTTGATCTTCAAAAGATTTACATTTTGAAATAACAACATCCGAGAAATTTGGTCAAAAATATCAGAAGGTTTTGTTAGACATTGAGGAAGATCCAACAAAGGGAAATGTATTACAGGCATTCGAACTTTGTAGGCAGACAGAGGGGATACTGCTTGATGGGTTAGTTAAGATCCAAGTCATGAATTTGGCAACTAGAGTTTCTAGCTTCAAATTAGTTGCGGTTGGGTAGACGTCAATCACATAAATTGGAAGTCTTCTCTAAATGCACATTTTAATAAAGATATTTTGATATCCTCCCTTTTTAGCGCGCCAGACATCAAAACTATACATGCATGTTCTGATAGAACGTCTACTAGATTTACAACAATTAGGACGTTGCCAACTAATATCCCTATATATACTACTGCCAAATCAAGTTAATCATAATATAGATATTAATATTGTATATGATTTAATACTAGATCCAAGTTTAGTTTTATATAGATTTTTTCTCCATGCATCTATAGTTTTACTGTCATTTTAATTTTAAACGCACATTTAAAAATTCATATTAAAATTAAAAATGCTACTGAATTACTTTTAAACTTACTCTTTGTTTTCAAGCAATTTGCAACAGCTTCATCATAAAATACTTACCGTAAAATATAACAACTTACATCAAAATATGCAACTTACGGTCGCATATAGTAACTCTACAATAAAAAAATATTATATGTCAAACTACTGAAATGCACCTGGTTGAGTGATTATCTAACTGAGTCGGTTTAACATAAACGCAGATAAATTTTTTTGGGTTTATGTCCAAAAAAAAAAAAATGTTTCATTTGACTATCACACCCTTAATATTAATGAAAAAGATAGCCAAATTTTGAGGTCAATGGTGTCATCAATTGATCTGTATACGCTCAAATCTAAATAACTATGCTGTATTTTTTGTAGTTATGTATATAGTTACTTCAGAAAATGAACTCAAAAACAATGAATTAAAGCACCCCATGGTGCTTAATCTATTAAGGTATAAGTTAATGTGAGCAATTATGAACCTATGTGTTATATGAAAATAATGGAAATGAATTTTACCCGTGATCACAAGAGTTGCCATCTCTCCGTAATATATTTGGGTATTATGTCATAAACAGTGGGGAAAAAAAAGAAGGAAAGATTCAGCATTAAGTGCTCCCTGCCACTGAAGCAACAGTATCAAATCTGCATGCAGTTATTTCCATCTCAAGATCAAAATCAAAAATCAAGTCTTTACGCTAGATCGATCTCTATTCCCCCTCAGCTTCGAATGTTCCTGCTTCCGCAAGTAATTAACTCAAACAGGGAGGGGTTTTGTGCGGTTGCAATAATCAATAATGGTACAACAACTCACCCCCTATTCAGCATTATTGGAAAGCTTTGGATGCAAGAGGACAACAACAAAACAAATTTACATGCGTCGTCTCCTAATATAATCAATGGATTGGAAAGTAGTTATGTGTCCTTATTCAAAACCAGGAAGCTTTACGTCCCCGCCTAAACTCATACCTAATCGAGATTAGTTTATTGATCTCGCGTTCAAATGTTGCCCAGTATACGACTTCGGGCAAAAATTAATTTTGAGCTAATGCAAGAGAAATGTGTGCTCTTGAAACCATCAAATTGTCGGATCCTAGACAATTGATAGATCCAAGATGGATGAAATAAATGGAATCTTAATTTGGTAGCTAGAAA